ATAGGACCTTATGGAATCACCATTCACTGGTAATAATTGAACCACCTCTCTCTCTCTCTCTCTCTCTCTCTCTCTCTCTCTCTCCTAAAATTGTACACACACTTGCAGGCACGGAGTGAGACAAATAAGATATCCCTGGTCTGATGGTCCGGAGTACGTCACGCAGTGCCCAATCCCTACAAACTCGAGCTTCCTCCAGAAAATCATACTCACTGATGAAGAAGGCACACTATGGTGGCATGCTCACAGCGACTGGTCACGTGCCACTATACACGGTCCTATAATCATTTTGCCTATCAACAACACCAAGTACCCTTACGAGTTTGACAAACAACACACAATCGTGATTTGTATGCTGCTTTCAACTAACTTAAATGACAAATAACAGTTTGCATTGTTTTTCTAAACAAAATTATTTTGTGGCATGCAGCTGAATGGTATGCGAGAGATGTGATGGACATAATCACCGAGGCTCTTGAATCCGGAGGCGATCCAGACTTGTCTGTGGCCTATACCATTAATGGTCAACCCGGAGACAGTTATACATGCTCTAATGGTACTAATTCTCGTATGTACATGAGTGTGATATATAAAATTAATAGTTAAAAGAAGGGAAAATGACACAAACAGTCCCTGAACTTTGACTCAATGTGCAATTTGTTCCCTGAACTTTTAATTTGTTCAATGTAGTCCCTGAACTTTAAACCTAATATTCAATTTGGTCCCTGAACTTTTAATTTGTTCAATGTGGTCCCTGAACTTTTAATATGTGTTCAATTTAGTCCCTGAACTATTTGAAAATGTTCAATGTAGTCCTTCCATTAATTCAAGTGCAGGGACTATATTGAACATTTTCATATAGTTCAGGGACTAAATTGAACACATATTAAAAATTCAGGGACCACATTGAACAAATTAAAAGTTCAGGGACCAAATTGAATATTAGGTTAAAGTTCAGGGACTACATTGAACAAATTAAAAGTTCAGGGATCAAATTGCACATTGAGTTAAAGTTCAGGGACTGTTTGTGTCATTATCCCTTAAAAGAAAAGGTCTTATTCATAGGTACTGAAATAAAACCTTACTACTCTATAATTAATGAAATGAGATCTTTGCGAAATTATTATGCCTTAAAATTAATTAATGATGATTGATATATAGCACAAGTAATTTCAGGATCTCCGTCAATACTATTTAAAATGGTGTTGCAGATTCAACGTACAATATAACGGTGGTACAAGGAAAAACGTTTCTCCTCCGAATCATCCATTCGGGGTTGAACGAAGAGATGTTCTTCGGCATAGCGGAGCACAATATCACTGTGGTCGGAATGGATGGAGCTTATTTGAAGCCACTTAATACCGATTACCTCATAATAACTCCCGGTCAAACGATGGACGTTTTGGTCACCGCGAACCAAACCCCCGATCGCTACTACATGGTATTCAGTCCATTCGTGGACACCAATGCCCCGTCCAACGAAAATGTCACAAGGGGGATATTCGAATACAATGGCACTTATAACCACTCGGAGACTCCCGTGTTACCCATGCTTCCAGGTTTTACCAACAAGAGTGACGCTGGAAACTTCACTATTCAGTTGAGAAGTTTGAATAGCATAGAACATCCGTCCACGGTTCCGACCAACGTCACGAGGAACATTACCATCACGGTGTCTGTGAATCAACAGCCATGTCCTGCTAATAAAACCTGTACTGGTCCAGACGGCAGTATGCATTCGGCAAGTTTGAACAACATAAGTTTTTGGGCTCCGTCAATTAGCATTCTCCAAGCATACTACAAGTACGTAAATCGCTAGACCTACCAATTTTGATCCTATTTGTTAGTATTGAATATCTTTCTCAGACCAATAGAGTTGATTCAGGCCGAAATATTCTTTAAATTGAACCAATTTAACCGATTAAAACCTTCATTGTCTTAAAGCAAAGGCATAATTCGACATCTAAATGTCTCTATAACTATATGTTTCTGGTGTCTACAGCAATATAAGTGGAGTCTACAACAAAACTTTTCCAGATAAACCACCTTTCGTGTTCGACTACACCGGAGATGTATCGGCCTTAGGGGAAGCAGCCAATGTGAGCACCGAAGTGTTGATGATTAACTATAATGAAGAGGTCGAAATAAGATTCCAAGGGACCAATTTCGGGTTAGCGGAAAATCACCCCATGCATTTACACGGCTATAGCTTTTATGTCGTCGGAATGGGCGATGGAAATTTCAGCGACTCCTATGTATCAGATTATAATACAGTGGATCCACCTTATATTAACACTGTTGGACTCCCCAAAAATGGGTGGACAGCAATCAGATTCAAAGCCGATAATCCAGGTACTATGATTGCATAAGTAGAAACACGGAGAAACATATAGTTTGCACGAGTTTAGACTTGTATATGAATGCATGATTGACAGATTAATCTTTTACGGGTGCTTGCAGGAGTGTGGTTCATGCACTGTCACTTAGAACGCCATGCTAGCTGGGGAATGGACACAGTCCTTGTCGTCAAAGATGGGACGAATGACGATCAGAAGGTGCTTCCGCCGCCCAAAGACATGCCCCCTTGTTCCGGATCATAATCAGGATGTTGTTTGCTTTAAGTTCTAAGGACAAAGGCTATTGATATCCCACTATGGAATAAACCATCTGAATGTTGTATCGTACTTTACAGTAAGACATCACTCTAATAAGTTTCAATAGGAACATTTGTTTTGGCAAGTAAAAAGTTTTTGTTCGATTCCACAAGCGTTTTGAAATGTATTTGTACGTTGCCGACGATGAATCCATAAATTTAATCAATAGGGGCGAAACTTACGATGATGTTGACTATAAAGACAATTAACTAGCCGTTTCAACAAGTTTGTCAAACAAAATTGGCATAGATAAATAAATTTAATAAGCAAAATAAAATATGTATTGAACAATGTCATAGCCAAAAATGCGTCACAACTTGCAATGTTGACATGAAATAGTCAATACAAGTGGAACCATTAATGGGTAGATCTATATCCATAGAAAAAACATTAGGTAGTCCCGCTCCACCACATCAGGCAATTTTGAATCACTCAGTCATCAACACGTGGTGCCGCGTGTCCAGGGCCCCACTTGTCAGTCTTTTATCTCTATCTTCTACCCCTTGCATTTCACTTCTTCTTCTTCTTTTTATGGATACCTAAATTTTTTCCCAAAAATCATTTTCAAAAAAATTGAAACTTTTTTTCCACAAAAAAATATTTCATCTTAATTACTTAGACATTTAGTATAATTTTGTTAATGGGAGTGGTTTTCTTAAAAACTACTTTCCCAAAAAAAAGAAGGGGGGGGGCAAAATGCAATTTCCAAAAGTTGAGGGACCAATTAGCATTTTTTTTTATAAAATTTCCCCAAACTCTTAAATAATCATTTCTATCATTTTGATCCTTGATTAAGCTTGAAATTGAACTCGAGTTAGGTCGAATTGATCAAATCAAGCCCAAAGGACCAAATTGAATGAAATTGGGCATTCTCGAGCAAGAAAATGACCAACTTTGAGGGACTCTTTTGCAAAATTGGGGCGAAGAAAATTGCAAATTCTGGTCAGGGACTTAAATTATTACGGATCAGCTTGCCAATTGATAAAAAATTTCAGCCAAAATTGATGGATTAAAGCACATAAACCAGGTGTCAAAACCCAATCCACGATTTGGCCACGATTCAAAGCTACTAAGGGCGCAAATGATAACCATTCCGTTTCCCTGTTTTTCTGTTTTTTTGTTCCCAAAAACAGATTTGGAACAAAAATTCGTTTGGTAAAATAATTTAATTTTTTTATTTATAGGTTAAATTTTGACCCATAAATAGATTTGGAATAGAAATTAGAAGTTAAAATTTTTTACTTTTCTATTTCAGGAACACAAATAGAAATAACAACTTTCTTTTATTGCTCATCCTTACCGCCCACCGCCGACCATTCGTCGCTAGCCGCTGACCATCCGCTGTCACCCACTGCCGCTTGCCAGCTGTCTGCCACCCGCCGGCTGTCCGCCACCACCGCTGCCACTCGCCGGTCACCCGCTATCGCCCATCGCTGCCACTCGCCAGCTGTCTGCCATCGCCGCTCGCCCGCCAACCCTCGCCACTCACCCGCCGACCCTCGCCACTCGCCGGCCGTTCACCGCCATCGTAGCTGCTCGCTGGTCGTCCATCGCTCGCCGCCACAGCCGCTCGTCGGCCATCCGCCACCGCAGCCACTTGCCCGTCACCACCGCCGCTCTCTAGCCGTTTGCCGCCGCTCACCGGCCGGCGGGAATAAAAATTTTATGTCGTTATCAAACGCTACTTTTTGCTTAAAACCTTGTCCGGGAAAAATATATGGATTTTTTAATTTCTAGCCAGAAAAAAAATAAGAAAAGAAATGTTGTCATTCGTGTCCTAAGCAAGCAACTTCTTGGCTCCACCGTATCCTGTTCAGCAGCCCAATTAGCACCATCTCTGGCTGCAGTGAAGGACAATAATTAGATGTGCAAACGGACACAAATTGGCCAGGTATAAGCTGTTAAAGTAGTATGAAAGTCGCAGCCAAAGCAACTCCCTCAACAGCTGCAAAAATTCCAAAATTTTGGCTAAAGGGAGAGAATTGGTAAAAGCAGCTCAATTAGAAGGACCAACCAAAACCTGGCTTTGTTCAATGGATAAGCTCTATGAGCATGCTTTATTAAGGCATAAAAGGGTCGAGACAAGAGGCAACTAGGGGAGCTCACGGTCGTCCCCAACAAACACCCCCTCAAGCAACTCATAAAACAACCTCAACCCAGAAATTTCACACTGACCATTTGTGAGAAAACAAAATTTTCACAAACTTTCAGCCAAAACTAGCCAAAACCTTCAACTAGAGAGTGAAATTACACTCAAATATCTTTCCAACCATAGGTTGGACGTCCCAAATGGAGGTCGGGAAGGCACTCAAAAAGCCTCTCGAAAATCGTGTTACTGGTAGGTAGGATTGGCAGCTTATAAATTTTGTTGGGTGTTGAAATCAAATGGTCACTGAAGAAAGTGAGTTTTTTTTAGAAAAACGAGAGACATCTAAGGAAAATTGTGGCTTGGGAATTAAACTAGAATACATATAGTTGGATTAGGTCTCAAAGGATATGACAAGAAGGGTCTTGGAGCCTGGTATTGGAGGCTAACAAAAACCTCTGTTGTCAGTTTTCTTCTTTGCAGATCCCATTTTCCTGATTGAGAAGGGGCCAACTTCCAGGCACCTTCAGATGACCATCTCTTGGCTTCCTCGGCCAAGAGCTACTTCACGCAGCAACTAGGAAGAAAGGTAAGGATCTTAGATGTATTTTTGTTCCAATTTTACCATGTTTTGACCGCGTAAAATCTTGAGAAAAACCATACTTAGAAAACTTATTTCTGAGGCTGGAATTTTTGTTGGAAGTGTTGAACCAGTTTCAGGTATCTTGCATGTTTGACTCGATATGCTGCTTTACATGTATTCTGTCTTCGTCAGACAAATGAATGTTATATGGGATTACAAATGATGCTTAGGTCAGCTTGGTTTGGTCGTTAAATCTCTGTGTGAGCCCTAAGTGTGCTTAGAACTTGAACCAAAAACTAACTTGGTCCACACTGGTTCATGGCTGGCCAGTGTGGACCATGCATGTAGGCTACTTGGAGAGGTTGCTTAGATGTGTGTAATTGATCGTTCTCCATGATGTTTGTTGCAATTGAAATTCCATGTTATGTAATTTCATTTGGATCCAGTATGTTTTCATGTATTTCTCGCATGTGATAAATGTCGGGGCTTGAATCTGGGCAGGCAACCTGTTTGTCTAACCTGGGTTCAAACCCAGATTTCTTAAAAGAAGGTCAGACCTGTGACTGTGAGGCTGATTCTGATCATGTTAGTGTGTTTTTAGGATGATTTTTCTTGTTAATCTTGTTTTCTGCATGTTTTAGTGTAATCATAATGCTTTGTTGCTGCTTAATATCGTCTATAGGTCGAGATTGAAAGCCATGAACATAGCTCGATGTAACTGGTGGGGGAAGTGTGATGCGCACTAATTGTTCGACAAAATGCTCGAACCAAGTTTCAATCTTGAAAAGGTTAATTCGAGCTTGGTTATTGTGATATTCATGTTCTGAGTTGATCCATGTTCTTGTGAATCAAGCATAGTCTGGTTTAATGAATTAAAATTATTTTCCAAAAACTTTTTTTAATTATTTAAAAATGAAAACTCTGAAAATTTTCCAAAATAAATAAAAAAATGCAGGATAGTATTAAATATGGGGAAAAATGATTTCTTTTAACGTACCTAATTGTCCAAAGTCACTTTCCTAATTTTTTCCTATTTTATGTTTTAAGGATTATAATAATCATTTTTGTAAATAACTCATTTTGCGTAGATTAGAATTATTTAGTGTAATTTCATGCATGTTTAAATCTCCACTTCACTTACAGGGGTCTTGTCCCGGGGCATAACAATATGGTCATGTATTATTCTTTGCCCGACATCTTATTGGGTTTACTTTCCGCACTTTACTTACCAGTTTTAATTATCGTGCTTGGTGTGCGTGCTTACGGGGATCATGTTCCTTTTAGCTTAGTTGAATGGTTAGGCCACACGTTGAGATTATAATAAACACAAAAACATTGCATGGACACTTAGTGGACGAGAATTTTAGGACCCATAATTGGTAAAAAGATTGTATAATCAAGTTAGGGTATTGAAAGGGCATTAATCGAATAACTAATGTAATCAAATCTTCAATCCTAGATCTTCGGATGCATAAGAAGTGAAGTATCATCCCGCAACTCACTTGGTTTCTATCCAGCTCCAATAGGCTGGTGGCGACTCTCATCTTACATCGAATCTTTTAGGCTAAATTGAAATTTAAAATGAAAATAATGTCATGAGAGGTAAGGGCTTGGGAGAGCCTGTACCTAATCAAGGGCTGTCGGCCCGCCTTTTGGGCGATATCCCCAAACCTATCTTTTTCCCGACCGCGTCGTAAAAGAGGTCACGACACATTTCACTCTCTTCTTCTTCCTTTTTTCATTTATACCACCGCCTTTGTCAATAGCCATGCCCATGAAGCCCCCGCAACCAACCACCCCGACCTCATGCTGGGCTTGCTCGACTGTAAATTGGATTTGTTTTTTTTTTTTCCTTGTGGATTTAAGGAAGGAGTCATTTTGAGTTTCTTCCCATTGGGGTTTTCTTGTTCCGGTTCTAAATTGGAAGAAAAATCTGAGTGTTTTTTGTGGAATTTCAAATGCTTGTGGAATTAAAAGGGATATATTTTTATGGGCATTTTGATTTCTTTCTTTGTTGGATGGCGATTCCCTCACAAGCAGCAACTTCGACGCGATGTAGTACTGCGTCCCACCCACGCCCTTCGTGTCACACCCCGATTCCTAGCAAAAGAGGGGATGACACGACCGTTCTTTCACCCGAAAGACACAGTCTCAAACTACCCAGAAGCCAACTCCCAAAAGTCCTCTTGGATATCGCTCTCATACTACTCATCAATAGCTGAAGAACCTGAAAAAGATTGGAAAGAATGAGGTGAGCAATCACAGCTCAGTGAGTAACACATTTCTTCCAAGCGGATCGAATATTCACTATGCATCGTTATAAAACGATATCATAACTTCTCATCTCAAATTCAATATACGAAATAAGTAAAATATCGAAAATATATGATAACTTTCCAATAAAAATCTATACGTACAAAATCAATCATCAAAACTTACTCAACAATAACAAACAATCATCAATGGTCTATTCCATTGATTAATCTCATCAATCTCACATCGATGGTTCATTCCATCGACTAATCTTATGCACATCATCAAACTGTGGTCACGTTTAACGCCGTGACAAAGGCGACCAAGTTTACCCCCCTTGGCTAGGTCTACCACCTATATAATCGGCGGTTCGGCCCAGAAAGACGTCTTGACAGCTTGCATACTCCCCCCTCAATGGATTCTCGTCATAGCGATATGAGCCATATCAACCAAAACATTTCTCCAATAACGCACAATCAACACCATAAAGTTATTTCATAAACCGGTTTTACAAACCGAATCACGTAACCTTTCACAATTCCATTTATCAATTAAAATGCATTTCATAAAATATTTCGTCATCAATACGAACTACTTTTGGAAATTCCTTTCCCTAAACATTTAACCAAAACATTCACAATTGGTCATTTTAGACCACTTCGTAAAACATTCTCAATCCTTTTTCAATCAACTAAAAGGTAGTAAAAGTTCGATCCAATTTATGCAAGAAACATGCTCTTAATAACTCATACTATATTAAAATTCTACCATTTTCAAAATATGAGTTTGTAAATTCATGGAAGAAATAGTACCACTCACCTGGGAATGCCCCAAAACTAAACAACGACGCTCACTCAAACCAACGATTCTGTAATCCTAACAATTAAACGTGAATCGACATCAAAACCAAGTAAAATACTACGATAACTACGAAACGGCTAAATGATGCTTAATCGCTAACAAAACAAGTCAAAGGCGTCCACAAATCGCTTGTCCAAAGCGATTATCCAAAGTCGTCCGCAACGCGAAGCTTGAACGCGAAACTTGATCGCGCCATAACTCTCTCCACCGAACCCCTTTCCAAGCGAGCCTATAGTCAAAAGAAAGCCCACTCAAAGAACTACAAGAACCCCAACTTGGCCGACCCAAAATCGAGCAAAAAACCGACGAAAATCGGCCTAAAAGCCGCTGATCGCTCACTGTTCACCACGCGCGCAACTTCAAAAATTCATATCCGGCAAATAGTAAGTCCAAATCGGGTTCCATAAAATCTCATAGCCCTGCAATACCCTAAACTATCAATTCTATATATATTCATAGCTCGACGACTCAAAAATCGGATTTCACCGCTCGAATAACACATAATTCCGAAATATGAGCCCTAACTTCCAAAATTACTTCGATTAGATGAACAATTGGCTCGAATACTTACCAGACATTGCGATTCATAATTGATTCGGCTAGTTGGAGTGTCCGGGTCAGCTACGTGTGTCAATTTCTCTCTCCTCTCTTCTTTCCCTCTTTCCTTCTTCACGGTTGCGCGTCTTCTCCCGCTTTCTTCATTCATTCTGCTGGCTTCAGCGCTTCATTTGTTGAAGCAGAAATAAATTGGTTGGGCTTGGGCTTTTAAGAGACATGGCTGGGTTTTTATGGGCCCAAATATTACACTTCGCCGTTGCCCTAACCTCGCCGCCAAGCCAGATCACCAACCCGAAGTCAGCGAGCTTCGGGTTGTTGCGCAAGTCGAGCAGGACGTTGTCGCGCTTCATGTCGCAATGGACGACGCGGAGGCGGTGGTCGTCCATGACAGTGGCGAGGAGGTGTTTGACGAAGTGGCAGCTCTCGGGCTTGGAGGGAGGGCAGCGGGCGATGAGGTCAAAGATGGTGCTGCATTCACAAAGATCGAGGACAAGGTAGACAGACCCAAAATTTGAAAATTAGAGAGAGAAAGTGAATTTTTGGATCCTTTTAAGGGTACCCATCTGCTAACGTGGCACCACATGTCAATTTCTGAGTGGCCTGAAACTTCGCTGATGTGGAGGGAAGGGACTACCTAATTTTATTTGTTATTCACTTAATTACCCCGTTTCACCAACCAAAAATGATTTCAGTAGTAGTAGTAAGAGAGTTTTTCATTATTCCCACTTTTTCTTGCTATGATTGTGCACTATTCAAGATGACTTTTAGGCTGTAATATCATTAGTCAGGTGATTCGACGGATGGTTGGAAAATTAACATAAGAGAAGATCAGTGGTTGCCGAGAGGTTTGTGCGAACAGAGAGGATCCAACTCGTGTATCCGAACTAATGGTCAGGGAGGAAGCCAAATTGAATGAAAATAGGGTGAGAGAGTTGTTTGACTATGAAACAAATCAGGAAATTTTAGCCATTCTCATTAACCCCCAACTTCTAGAGGACATATTGATGTGGACACCAATCAAAACAGGGCAGTTCATAGTGAAGAGTGTGTATAACAACCTCAAAGCATAAAAAGAAACACCGAATCAGAATCGAGCATCAACGTCATACCAAACCCCTAGAGAATTATGGAATAGACTTTGGAAGGCAAACTTATAACCCAAAATCAAATTTTTTTTCCTTGGCAAGTTTATCAAAATGCCCTAGCAACTAAGGAGAATCTGGTTCGGAAACGGATAATACCTCAACCACTTACTTGATATGTCAATAGCATCCAGAATTCATCGAGCATCTTTTTCTTTTATGCCTCGAGACTCAGAAAATATGGAACAACCCATCAGTAAATACTAAAGTCGATAGTTACTCCGTAACTCGAATAGAGGAGTGGATTCTGAATTTTAAACATGCCTCCATATCCTTCAATCTCCTTTCTTTATTATTATGACAGATCTGGAAATCTTAGGACGACTTGGTGTTCAGAGCTCAGAAGTTAAATCCCCAACATATCGTGACCTCAACTATTGCCGCGGAGAAAAACTTCACTAAATTATCAGAGAAAACGAATGGAAAACTGCAATTACAAAAAGAATTACCTCCGATCGGGACCCCTCCTCCCCCCATGGTGATTAAAATTAACATCAATGGGTCTTTTGTTGCATAAATAGGGGAAGAGGCCATTGCGTGTGTATGCTGAGACAGCCAGGGTATCTTGATAGGTGGGTTTGCTCGATCGGTAAGAGTCTTGTCGGTGATCTAGGCAGAGGCGGCTACTGTGTTTGAAACCCTAAAACACTTTGAAGCAAAAAGTGAACTGAAGATCGTGTTGGAAACAGATCGAATTGATCTAGTGGAGATGACAAGCGAGGGAGCAGACCAAGTGAGTTGGGATGCTTATGCACTGATCACCGAAGCACAACCTGTGCAAAGCTGTTAACACCTATTTTTAATTGCCCAATTAATTGCACAAAATTAGGAATTAAATTTTTGATTCCTAAAACAAAAATATTTTTATTCAAGGGTTAATACCACGAAAAATCCTAAACTGGTACACTTGTGACACATTTACCCAAAACTATTTTTTTGACCATAAAAAACCCCAAACTGGTACACCTGTGACAATTTTACCCCAAATATACCACAAAAAACCCTAAACTGGTATACATGTGACAATTTTACCCCGAACTAATTTTTAACATTATTTTTTTGAATTTTTTCTTTTTTCTTTTCTTTTCGTTTCTTTTTTTTTCCTTCACCTTCAACCTCTGGCCGGTCACCGGGGGGCGGAAGCCGGCAAGGGCGGCCCTCGCCGGCGTCGGGCGAGGGCCGCCCTCGCCCGATCCGGCAAGGGCAGCCCTCGCCCGATCCGGCGAGGGCAACCCTCGCCGGTATAGGGGCGGAGCCGCGTCGGCGCCCTCGCCGGATCTAGCGAGGGTGACCCTTGCCTACGTTGGGCGAGGGCCGTCCTCCCTTGCCCGGGGCAAGGGCGACCCTCGCCCGACTCGGGCGAGGGCGGCCCTCACCCGACGTTGGCGAGGGTCGCCCTCG